TACAAAAACTGACCACATGTTTGACTTATAAAACACATTTCAAAATGTGTCAGGGGGTTGCTATTGTACAGATTGCTTTCTCTCACAACAGAGCAATGACAAAAATCACTTTGCTGTAGCACCCCTGGGAGAAACAAGAGGTCATAACGGAAATTAGAAAAATATTTAAGTGAACGAACACCAGAATCGAACGCTGTTGGTCGACACCTGGGGGATGACGTCTGAGTGGCATTTAGAGAAAACGTGTGTAGCCCTCAGTGCACACCTTAGAAGCCTAGACAGTCTTAAGATTAATAATTATCCAGCCTAGGAAGTTAAAGGACAATACATTACGGCCAAGTGAATAGAACAAGAAAATAAACAGAAGTAGATGAAACAAAACAAAGCCAACAATAGACTCAACGGGGTCAAAAGTGGGTTGAAAACATGAATAAAACGGGCAAACAGCTGGCGACCTTGACCCATGGGGGGAAGAAAAACAATATTGGCAATAGAAGGGGGGGGCTAACCACTGATGATACAGATGCTAAAGTGATAACAAATGCCAGCAAGTGTGAAAGCTAGGCTGGAACGCACAAAGCCTTCAAACATACAGCTTATCGAAACTGACGCAAGAAGAGGTCGAGAGCCCCAGCAGCCCCACAGCCGCACGCGTCGCCGACGAGGCAGCGAAACCTGCCCGCCAGAAAAGCGCCAGGACGCTCCGGGGCAAGGAAACCTAAACTTGCGCGAACTATTTGAGAATATAGACAACAAGGGAACACTTACCAGCTCATTCTGTGAGGTTCACATAAACTGGATACCAAAATCCACTGAGAACCGTGTAAGACGTGGATGCATCTCGCATGGAAATAGGGACACAAAAATTCTAAAGGAACTATTGCAAGAGGATTTTAGCAGCGTCTAAGAAAGAATGTTCCACGTGAAGGACTGGTGTGTGGTGGGCAGAGGCAGGCACCACACAGATGTCTGGAAAAATAGTGTAGATCCAGGATGATAAATGCCTGAACTCTGTGGGGAGGGCGTGGGGCTGGCGTGCAAGGGCGAGTGGCTTCCGGGGGCTGAGGGATGAGCAGGGGGAACTGTGGGGATGACAGTTCCTCGGGGTCTTGCTTGTAGGCCTGGGTGGATGGAGGGGTCTCTCTGGGCTGTGGGAGGAGCAGGGTCTGGGTCCTGGGTGACTGGGCCTGCCTGGTCCAAGGCCGGGCCTGGGGAGGTGAGGCGGTGGGGGCCTGGGCTCGAGAGCATTCCTGTCCAGGAGAAAAGTGTGCCTGGCCAGGGTTCTAGGACCGTGGAAGGAGAGCCTTGCCGCCCACGCCCTCTGCACCGGAGCCTGGAAACGCAGGACTTCCCTGTGTCCGGCTCTGGGCCATGGACATTTCCGGCAAAAACAGAGAAGAAAGAAATTCTCCCAGCCCACTGAGCTCCTCATATCAGCCAAAGCTGTGTGAGCTGAGCTTGCAAAATAAACAGGGCTCAGTGTAAACACTGCAGCAGGTCCCGGGGATGGAGCTAAGAATACACGCTGGGGGAGGAAGGTGGGAGCGGCTCTCCCTCCTTTGGGTCCCCAGAGAGCCTTGGGGACCTTGCCTCTGGAGGAGGGGACAGACAGGGAGGGGACAGACAGGGAGGGGCCAGAAACCCGGGCCCAGGGCTGGGGCCGCGCTCTCAGGACTCCTGTCCCAGAGCTGGCGAGGGTCTCTGTCCAAGTGTCTGGATCCGTGCCGCCCCCTGACCCCGCCGCCCGTGGGCGGTCCTGCTCTCCCCCGCCCCCAGCCTTGGCCCTCAGTGTTCACACTCAGCCCCTTCTCCACCAGACCCTCCTGTTCATGAAACGCCTTTCTGGTTTCTTCTCTCTCCACTTCATCTCCACATCCTTCAGTGGCCTCCTCCGGGGCCAGCTCTTTCCCTAACTCACTAACCAGCCAACAGCTCCACCTCTCTGGGCCTCGGTTTCCCTACTTGTAAAAGAGACTTCACTGGGACAGATCCGAGTCCTTCCCAGAATGGAGAACACAGAATGGAAGAACCACTCACACCCTCTCCTACGACTATGGGGGCTGCGGGGGTCCCGGCCCCGGGAGTGGGGCAGGCCTGCTGGCCGGCCCGGGCTGGGGACAGGCGGCGTCCTGAAGGGCGGGTGGCGGGATCTGAGCTGGAGCAAGAGTTGTGAAGAGGCTGCAGGGCCCGAGAGAAGGAAGTGTGTCGGGCCGTCGCTCCCACGTGGCCCCTGGCCTGGACATGAGGAACTGAGGTGCCCCTGAACGGGCCGAGCTGGCCTCTCCTGGTAACTCCCTGCAAGCGGGTAGCCCAGGGCCCTGACCCTTGCACTGATCTGCTCACAAGACAGAAGGAGGGAGTGGCAGCTGCTGTGCGTCCCAAAGGCCCCTCTCCCACTGTCCCCGCCCTCCTTGTCCTGCAGCTGAGCGAGCCGGCGGGGATGGGACCCCATCACAGCCGAGGCCTGAGCTGAGGCGAGGGAGCAGTTGGGGGCCAGGGTCCCTTCCGCCTCGAGGCCAGGCCGGTGGGGCTGGTGGCCGCGGGCACTGCCGCTGCTGCCGGCCTGTGGGGCCGTGGAGGGCGGGCGGCTGCTGGGTTTCCTGCCCCTGACTTCCCGCAGTCAGCAGGATTGCTCGGGGTTGTTTACGGCCCCGATGGCTGCAGCGATAGCGGCGGTAGCGAGGGGCCGGGATGTGCCACTGTGCCCTCTGGGCCCGGTGGGGCCCTTTCCCAGGGTCTGTCCCTGAGGGGATGCCGGTCTGTGGGGAGGGGCTGGGCAGGCCAAGCTGGACGCCAGCCCACGGCGGCCTCTGCCGGGGTCCTGCACAGCCCCACCGATGCCTTGGTGGCAGCGGGGTGGGGATGCAGTGTGGGGCAGGCCTGCTCCCAGCCTGGAGACCCCAGCCTGGTGACTGCACCTCCCAGGCTGAACCAGCTTCCGGGAGGCAGGAGTGGGTGATGACGACACACAGCCGGTCTCCCCGAGCACGTGCGCGTGGGACGTCCAGGAATCCTTGCAGCTCAGAAATGGCCCCTCTCCTGGGGCCTTGTTCCCAAACCACGCCCCCAGGGATCAAGGGCTCTGGAAAACCCGCCCCTTTGTTGTTCAGGTCTGAAGAAATGTGGGCACTTAATTCTGTTCCCCCAAGCCCAGCCCAGTACGCTGACCTCAGCTGATCAAGGGCTGTGTCCTGGTTCTCAGACCTTCACTGCTCCAGCCTGGGGAGGGGACACTGCTCCTACCCCCATCACCACCCCCAGAGGACACCAGGCTCCTGTCTAGATTTAAAGGGGTGGCCTGTCCCACGGAGCAGTGGGCAGAGCCAAAAGACAGGCCCAGGGCAGCAGGACAGGGGACAGAGCCAGACCAGGGTGAGCGTGTCTGGATGCTGGGATGGCAGGGGCACTCCCAGGGCTGCTGGGTGGGGGAGGGCTCCTGTGCCCAGGGGCCACCACAACCCCTGCCAGTGGTGAGGGCCAGTCAGCATAGCTGCCTTGGCCAGGATGTTCCAGGGCTGGCAGGGGGCCTGGGCCCAGGCCCCACTCTACCTCTGCTTCCTCCGATGTCCGGAAGTCCCCACACAGGGTGCCTGCTCTGCTGTACTGGGCGTGGCCACCTGCTGCTTCTCACAGAATGTGCCAGCCGGAGTCCCTGGTCCGTCCCACCACACCCCCTCCCCGTGAAGAAGAGCGAAAGCCAAGGACGTGTCCCGTTCAGAGCCCGGGGCCCCAAGCCTCAGATGCCAAGCAACCTGGTGAACTGACTATTCCCAGCGAGGGCATCTGCCAGTGGGCCGTCTGCTTGGGCAAAGGCCTGTGCTGACCGAGGTGGGCAGGCCCTCCGGCGGGGTCAGGGTGTTGGCATCACAAAGCCCCGGCTGGCCAGACCCCAAGTGAGGGCCCCAGCGGGCACCTGGACTGTGGCCCTCCCTCTCTGCCTGGCTGCATTTACTGGATCGCAGCCCGATCCCAGCCCCAGCCAGGGCAGACCGCAGGTGAGCAGAGCGTGGTGCTGCAGACCCCAGCGGGGGAGGGAGGGTGGGGCGGGAACGGGGGCTGCGCCCCTGCCCGCCTGCCCAGCGGCCGCAGAGATGGACATGGGCCAGAGCAGGCGTTGCCCAGGAAACCGAGTGGCGGATGCACTCCCTGCCCAACTGAAATTCCTCTATTTTTAGTCCCCCGGCTACTTTCAGATAAAGTCCATGTAGACGAGCGAGCTGTTCGGCCAGATAACAGCCAGCTTCAAACCACGGAGACTTCAAAGGGCAGTGCGGCGGCCCCTCCCGTTCCCCAGAACCTCCCGCAGCTCCCACGATGCCCTGGGAAGAGGCTGCAGAGCCAAGAGACCGGGCAAGGGGTACAGAGCCCAGCGGGGAGTGGGGCATCGCAGCAGCCGCGGCTGAGAGGGCCGGCGCCCCGCAGCGGACGGAGCACGGGCACCGCATCCCACCTGGATGCCCGGAAGGCCCTCGGCCGGCGCTCCACACCTCCTAGTGCCCTCAAGGCCCTGCAGAGTGGGGTCCTGGAGCCCGCAGCCCCTCCTCCCTTTGTGGTGCCCCCGCACCACTGTCGGCACCTCTGAGGTCCCCGAGTGCACGCGGCCTGGGGCCGAGGGAGCCACAGGCACCGTGGGCGGCACGCCCGCTCCGGTGTGCTCTGGGCGGTCCTCAGTTACTCCAGGGAGGGGCCTGTGGGCACTTGTCAGGGGTCTACAGACCAGCCTGGCCTGGCCTTCCACGTCCTCCTCCCATGGGGCCTGGTGCCTGGCATGTGTGGGGAGTAATTGGAGACCTTGGTGTCAGGTGGGCACGCTGAGCATGGACAGACGTAAGGAAGGAGGGAAGGAGAGACGGCAGGGGAGACCCCTGACACCTCGGGCACCCTCCGGGCCTCGCACGCTCAGGAAAGAGCCAGAGAGTAAAACACTGCTGCGGACGGCACTGTCCGGGCCCAGGGGCGACGCCCACTAGGAGACACGCCGCGTGGGCTCAGGTGCCTACCTTCTCCTCCACCCGGTTCAGGCGGGCGCCAATCGTGTTGCTGCCTCGGTCCTTGGTCTTCTCTGTGGGATAAAGCATCCGCATCAGGAATGCCTGAGCCAGCAGACTGGGGCGGCAGGGGACCCCGCCTGGGCCCGGGGAGAAGGGTGACTGGGGTGGAGAGCTGAGGGTCAAAGTCCTTGAACCTACGAGGACATCGTTTACGAGCTCTTTGGAGAAGAGAACTCCAGGAGGTGGCAGGAGGCCAGGCACTGGCCGCTCTGTCCTTGCGCCACTCTTGCTGTTCTGTGATCTCTGAGAGCCTCGGAGGACAGGGAAGTGCCCTGCCTGGGGCTGCGGTGCAAACACGGCATCCCACCCACCCCGGGGGGGCACTTGCTTTGGCCGGGGGGGCTGCTCCTGCCTTCCGTCTCTGAGTGAGCTGCGGCTCCCAGTTGAACTCGGACGAGGGCAACCCCAAGGGACTGGCCTGGCCTTGCCTGTCCTCCCTGGTGTGACCCCCAGCCCCTGGAGGGAGGACAGGAGGGACGTGCCTCAGAGCTGGAGGACGGCACCCACCTTGCTGCCACTGGCCTTCTGGCTGGCCACTCACCCCTCCAAACCCCACTCCCAGGCCTCCTCCCTCGCAGGATCCCTGTCTCGGGTCCACAGCCAGGTGGTCGACAGCCTAGAAAAGCCTGCCGTTCAAAGGGACCCATGTAAGTTCTTGCACTAACTGGAAATCCTTTGTGAAGCATGTTCAGAGCCACTGTGCTAAGGGTGGGTCTGCCTGACCGGCTCTCTCTGGGTCTCCTTGCACTCTCGGACGGTGGGAAGAGGTGGGCGTGGGTGGAGGGCGGGGGAGGTTACCGTGATGCTGAAACCCACCTGAGACGGAGATGAAGAGGGAGGGCTTCCCAATGGACTGGTCCAGCCTAGGGGAAGGAGAACACAGACCAGGCACCGCATGACATCTGACCTGTTGCTGGGCAGATGGGCTGGTGTGCCCAGCAAGATGACAAGCCACCCGCCCCGCCTGGGGGCCGCCCACCACCACCACCCAAAAGCCTGCCAGGAGCCTCTAGGTCCCAGAGGCCCGTGCTCCCAAGGGCGCCTGGCAAGGGGCTCAGAGGTGAAGGGCGGAGGGGGGGGCTGCCCCTTAGTCTCCCCCCAGGGCCGGCAGGGTCCCAGGGCCGCCCAGTGTCCTGTGGCTGCTTCATAAAAGCCCCTGGCCAGGCTCCCCAAACGTGCCCAGAGAGGTAGGCTAGCAAGCGGGCCCTCCCAGGGTGGGCCAGGGCGCTGGGCTGGGTGGGCTCCATGTCCCTGCAGTAGGCCAGCAACGGGGGAGGGGGCACCTGAGCCCTCCTCAGGCCTGTGGTCAGGACGTCACAGCTCCCAGCCACACCTTGCGCTGCATGGAGCTCGGGTCCCAGGCTAGCCCACCGCGGAGGTACCGCTGACCTGACCTGTGCGGGCCCCCGAGGACCACGCTGCTCTCAGGAGAACGAGCTCACCAGGCTCCGGGCTGGAAGCCAGGACATGTGGGCTCCCGGTCACCAGGGTCTCCCTGGAGGTGGTGCCTCCTGGGGCTGGACCTGCTGCTGCTCAGAGCCCCCGGGTGTCTGCAGCTCTGAGACGGGGGCGAGCCTGGAGCTGGTGCTGTTCGCCTCGTGCCCTGGCCTCACCCACTCCCCATCTGTCCGTCCCCTTCGACCACCCCCTGGGGCCCACGCTCCCCGCCCCCCCGCCCCGCGTGCGCCCACCTTCTCTGCAGCTCTTTGATGCGCACCATGAGGTTGAGGTGGCCCTGGGAGTACTGCTCGATGACATCCCGCACGTCGTAGGGCTTCCGCGCTTGCTGTGGGCCAGAGAGACACGAGTCAGCCCCTCTGTGCCCGCGGGCTCAGCCGAGATGCAGACTGTGCTGGTGCCCGCCTCCCGTGGCCTTTCAGGATTTAAGGAGCCACCCATGTAGCTCTGCGGGCAGGCCCGGCCCAGTGCACATGCAGTGGCCGGGCTCATCGCCCCTGGGAGCTGGGGGACCCTGGCCAGCCGCCTCCTGCCCTGTCACCCGCAGAGACCTGACTATTCTCTTTCTAGGCCCCCAGTTCCTGTTTTCAAATTGCCTCAGAGAAGCTGGCTCAGCTGAGGGGCCAGGGGAGAAGCAGGGCTGCTGATCATGGGCCAGGAGGGCACAAGTTCGTGCAGCCACCGCTGGCCTGGGCCCCAGGCTGACCCTCCACCCACACACTCACTGGCAGGTGCGCCCATTGTTCTCAGGGCGGGGAGGCAGACTGCCACGCGCCTTCCCAGGCGGTCCCCTGGGCCGAGCAGAGGTGGCCGCAGGTGACAGCCCCTGGCCTGCAGTCCCTACTCTGGGTGACAGGCCTCCTGCTGGGGCTCCAAGGCTGCCTGGGAAGAGGAGACAGGCGCACAGTCAACCTGGGGCCATGGGGGCAGGGCAGGGGACCCCAGAGCACCAGGCTCGGCGCCAGCTCTGAGCCCGTAAATGCATCCGGGGCTCAGGTGAAACCGCAACAGAGAGGAGGGGGCTTCTCACGACGGCAGCGAAGCCGCCAGCCGCGTTCATGGCCTCGTCTCGGGAGCCACGGGCCGAGGGGCTCACCCAGGCAGGAGCAGGTCGGCTGAGTGGGGGTTCCACGGCCCGGGAGGCCCTTTGCCCACACAACAAGCCAGAGCCGTGCGGGGACATAGACCACCTCTATAAGGGGGGGCCCTGGGTGGGCCTCATTAACACTGAAGGGCCCACATTAGTGATGAGCTGGGGGGCTTCTCAACCCTAGGGCCCCAAGCGACACGTCCGCTCTGCCCACCTGAGGCCTACCTCTCCTTGGGAGGCCACCCCAGAGACTGAGGCTACCCCAGACTAAGGGGGTGGTCACCTCTGCCTTCCTAGAAAGATGGGGCTCCCCTGAGGGCAGGGTCCTGTCTCAGATCTCTGGGTACCCCTCGAACATGTCCAGGAGCCTGGCCATCAATCCTGGCTGCTTAACAAAGCTCTTGCATCTCCCTAACATTGACTGGGACCCTAGGAACCCCAAGCCAGGGCAGAATCCTCCTCCCTATCAGGGACTGGGCACGAGAAATCTGGGGGATCCTTCCCCCATCACACCTTTGCCCCCAGTGGAAGGACCTGCCCCCGGGGGCCATGCTGTGCACCAGGACCGCCTCGTGGCCTACACACCAAGGCCCATCGTGGGATCACAGGATCGGGCAGGCTTGCTGACTAGTCACACACTCAGCTTTGTGACAAGCCCAGCAAGGCCACCTAGCCACAGGCTAGTGACAACACCCCCAGGGCTTAGCCTTTCCTCCTGGAAGATGGAAGATGGAGCCCTATTAGCCCGTCCTGTGACGCGGAGACACTGAGCCCTGCCTCACTCGGGCTGACGAGGAGGGTGAGGGGGAACTAAGATGCTGGGCGAGATAGGTTAGGAGTCCTGGGCTGCTCACGCCAGGACGGCCCGGGGTGGCCGTGACGGTGGCTGTGGCTGAGCCCAGGGCACAAGCTGACCTTCAGTGCACACTGGAGGTGGCCCTGAGTCACAGCACCCACCCTCCTCTGGGCCAAAGGGCTTTGTGAGGCTCGTGGCACCTCCAGACCCGGCGGGGGGTCCGGGGCAGGCCTGGCCTGGGATGGAGCAGATCCTTGCACTGGCCCCTCGGAGACCGCAGGAAGCCATGCATGAGGGTGAGTGTGGGCACCTGAGTGTGTTAAGAGCCTCTGTGTGCACACACATATGCAAATGGACCCGTGGGGTGGAGTGGGAATACAGGACGAGTGTGCGGGAGTGAATGTGTATGCACGCGTCTGCCTGTCTGCCGGGCCGCGGTGGGTGGGGCCGTGAGCAGGGCCCCTCGGCCTCACCTTGTCCAGGGAGGAGGTGCCCCACCGACACCCAGGACCCGTGGCCAGGTAGGGCCCCAGGCCCCCGAGGTGCCTTGTGGAGCCGATGGCCACCGCCCCCCAGGCCTGGCCAGCGCTCCTGGGGGCCTTTGTCAAGTGGCTGCCTGGGGCCCAGCCAAGGGGTCATCTCAGCTTTCTCTCCAGAGCTAATTCCTTCTGGCGGCAGCAGCAGGAGCCTGAGATGAGCCCAGATAATGCCGGGCTGTCCAGACTGACCGCCGGTGGACCTGGGAGTTCAAGGCAAACTTGAAGGCCTAAGAGGCTCTGGCCCCTCGGGCCAGACGCGGGGCAGCCAGCCGGGTGCTTATCGGCCAGCGAGGCAGGCGGGGGGCCACCCGCCATGCCTGCAGCCCCTAAGGCCAGAGAGGGGTGGGCGTGCAGGCAGACAGACAGACAGGCTGCTGCGGGGGGAGGGAAGGCCTCCCTGACAGCTGGGCCTGGGGCGGGGGGCCACCCCGGAGCCCCACGGAGCTCCTCTCTGCCAGGAACTTTGCCCGCTGCTTCTTCCTTGGTGGGTCCCTTCTCCCTGGAGGCCCCTTGCTCCCCACCCCGCCGGCTGCCCCTGGCGACGAGGGCCAGCTGGTGAAGCCTCCCACCTTGCTCAAGAGCCTCTGTACCCAAGGAGGCACACCTCCACTCAAAGGGCCTCACTCGGCTTCCTCAGGGCCCCCCAGGGGTCCTGGGCACAGGGGAGGGGCAGGGAGCAGGGAGAGTGGGGTTTCCAGAGGCTTCACGGGCCACTCACAGCACCCTGGCCCATGTCCTGAGGCAGAAGAGGAGACCCTCGGCCTGGAAGGGAGGACAGGGCCCCCACCAAAGCCAGCGACCAGTTTTCTCACCAGTGCCCAAGTCTGCTCCAGCCACTGTGGGCGCCCCTCTGCCAACGGCAACCTGCGGTCTGAGCTGACAGCTGCCCATGTCACCCCCGAACTGGGCCTGCCATGGGCCCCAAGTTCCGTCTGCTCTGCTGGCTGCCCCAGACTCTGGGAGCAGCGCCCAGGAAGGCCGGTGTCCACCCTGGCACAGGCCTGCACATCGGAACTGAACCCCAGGCAGGGGGTTGTGGCTTTGTCCGGCGGGGGCCTGCTCTGAGACCGAGGCGGCCCAGCTGTTCGGGCTGGGAGTCGACCCGCCCTGGAAAAGCCCCCACTGACCCCTCTGCTCCCCCAGGTTGGTGTCTGTGGCTTTAGCCATCACAGCCAGCTGCTGGCCAGTGAAGGTGACACATCTTGGCTCTTCCTGTGGCCTCCTCTGCTCTTGGGGACACTCCTGCCCAGACCTGACCCCCGAGGGGAGAACAGCGCCCCCCACCCAGCGCGCCTTCAGCCTCCTGCTCTCCAGACCACCCTCCACCAGCACCGCCAGGGCAGCCCGGGCCCTCTGGGAAGGAGAGGCCGCAGAACCCAGACGCCCTTGACCAGGGCTGTCGGATCCCGCCCAGAGCATTGCTGGGCAGACCTCCCGGCGCCGGCTGAGAAGAGCGTTCACCACGACTCTTTTGTCTCAACAGTGAGAAGTCCCAGGCCCTGGCGGGAGCC